TTAAATAATAAATTTATTATTAAAAATAAATAGGTAGATAGATACCTTCCTGGACAAAGACACCCCTGCCGGGCCCTGCAGGGTGCAGAGCAGCAAGAGAGAACCGGGCTGCAGGAGCAGGCAGCCTCAGCCACTGCGGGGCGGCAAAGCGCCTGAGAGGAGCCGCAGCAGCAGCAGCAGCAGCAGCAGCAGCAGCGGGCGCTGCCAAGCGAGAGCCGGAAACGCGGACCCACCTTAGGAAAAGAGGCCGCAAACCTGCCAAGCAAGAGCTTGCAAAGCCCAGTGTGTTGCGGACACCCCACGGTGGGCATCCAGCTGTACAAAGCACAGCGCCCCCGGCGTGACCTTACTGAAACAGCTCTGTTGATTGCTGCTCTTGGCAAACAGCTGCGGGCCCAAGCAACCTCTCCGTGTCCTCTACCCGTGTCATGCCGGCCACTCTCTCAGGAAACCCCAGAAGACCCCGCGGTTCACCTGTGGAGCGCTAGTACCATCCCCCAGGATTATCGTGAGGACCCACGTATACAAAATTCAGGCTGGTTAGCTAGGGGCGCTAGCACGTGGCTGTAACCCCAGCACTTGGGAGGCTGAGGCAGGAGGATCACGGAGAGTTCAACACTAGCCTGAGCTACACAGCAAGACACTGTTTCAAAAAACACAATAAAATAAGTTCAGCCTGGCATCTAAGTGCACATCACTAATGCTTAAGGAGTGGTACATGTTAGTACCAAGGCAGTTTCAGGACCGGTCAGATCGGAGCCCACTCCCCAGGAGACGAAGTCCAGTTATCTCCAGGTCGATGTTAAACTTCACCACTTCTGTATCGGCCCACACTGCAAGAGGCTTCAGGGACATAGGAAATGGTGCCCCCTGCTGACCACTGAGGGAACTTCAGGGACCTCTGTGGGAAACCCCCGGCACCCACATCGTGTCTCTACCGCCCCTGACCCGGGAGCACCCCGTGGCGGGCTGGGGAACGCGTTGAAAGCAAATGGCTCACTGCGGCTTCCAGCCAGAATGGACTAGAAGGAGCCAGATGTACTCACCTGTGTGAAACAGTGCTTTTCAGACGCTGGGCAGCGGTGAACCTTAGCACATGAGAAATAAGCGAGGAAAACCCGGCACTGCCCAGCTCACCGCCTCACTTGCAAAACCGTCCAGGCTGGGCTGGAACTTGGAATTCTCCTGCCTCAACTTCCTAGAGTGCTGGGATTACAGGCGTGCACCACCACGCCCGGCTCAAGTAATATTTTTTTAAGAATTTTTTTTTTTTTTTAATGGGCATGAGTAGGGTGGTGACACACTCCTGTAATCCCAGTACTTAAGAGGCTGAGGCAGGAGGATCTCCACTAATTCGAGGCCATCCTGGGCTACATAGTAAGTTTAAAGCCAGCCTGAAATATATAGCTAGGCTCTGTCTCAAAAAAAAAAAAAGGCAGACACATCACTGGCTACACACCTGGGGGGCCGCAGATTTTAAAAACAAAAAGCAATGACAACCACCATTGGGGGGCATCAGACTCCAACGCAAACTTTGGAGGGTTAATCACACTTGTCTCAGCACTCCTAGATGCTGCAGTTGGCAGACTTTGAATTGAGCATTAAAAATACGCTCAGCTGGGCACAGAGGCATACATTTGTCATCCCAGGCACTTGCAAGGCTGAAGCAGGAAGCTAGTTAAGTCCAAGGTCAGCCTGCTTAATTCAGCAAGACCCTGTCTCAAAATTTTAAAAAAAAAGAGCCAGGTATGGTGCCACACACCTGTACACCCAGCACTCTGCTGAGGTAGGATCACTGCAAGTCCAAGGCCGCCCTGGCCTATGGTGGGTCTGAGGCAGCGGCATTCGGCGGGGTGGGTGCGTGTTCACCGCCTACTGCAGCTGTATCAAAAATCACACATTTAAGAGGCTTAAAACCATGCAAATTTATTATCTTTCAGTTCCTGAGGTCAAAGTCCAAATGGCCTCACTGGCTCTATTTCTTTGTGCGGCCTCCAGGAAAGAACCGTTCCTGCCTCTCCCAGCATCCCGGGCCAGGCCCACCTCAGAAGCCCAGGGCGATCTCCCCCTTTCACATCTCTGAACCTCATGGCACCTGCGAGGGCCCCTTTGCCCCGTCAGGTAACTTTCACAGGTTCCGGGTTCTGGGGTTCAGGATGGGGTGTCTCTGGGGGCCATTACTCCGCATCCACGCGGTACATTCAGGAGGAGGCTGTGAGGGGAAGGGGGTCAGCCGTAGGAAGGTCAGTTCTGAGGTGCTTGGAGGAAGACCTGTGCACAGCTTCCAAACTAAGCACCTCCCGAGAGAGAGACACGGGCGGTATGACGGTGACCGCTGTATTCCAAGCATCCCAACGCTGGTTTTTCACTTCTGAAATCAACTGCATCTTTTTTTGTTTTGTTTTGTGGTCTTTTTGAGACAGGGTCTCGCTCTGCAGTTCAGGCTGGCCTTGAGCTCACTTTGTAGCCCAGGCTGGTCTCGAACTCTCAAGGATCCTCCTGCCTCAGCCTCCCGAGTGCTGGGATTACAGGTGTGAGCTACCACGCCCAGCTCTGCATCTTTTAACCTATGACAGCTTAACAACTCTATCTGGCAAGTTGCTTCTCCCTTGGTGAGTCGGGAGTCTTACCACTGATGGCCTCCTGGAGTCACAGTTCTGGTGTAGGCTGCCCCTAGAGTGAGCCCCGTTACCAAAGAACTGGAGGCCCCACCTCCAGCTGGAGAGCAGCAAGAAACCCTACCCTGCCTGGCCCTCATCTTTCCTAGTTCCCAGCTTGCCTCCTGCTATCCCGGGGCTTCTGCGCTCAGGTCACCCGCAATTAATGGACTCACCAGAGCCACACGCACACTCAGCTCTGCTTTCCTGGTGGGAGCCTGAAACGCCATCCTCCAGGCGTGCCTCCATTGTGAGAGTCGGGCAGATTCTCAACCAGCTGTGTACTATTTATTTACTTTTGAGGTTTTTTCTGGGACAGGATCTCGATATGTAGCCCAGGTTGGCCTCAAACTCCCGGTGATCCTCCTGCCTCTGCGTCCTGAGTGCTGGGATTACAGTTGTGCACAAACATGCCCCGCTCCAGCTGCATACCAGAAAGACCTAGGAAGCTTCTAAAAGACCTACTACCAGGCTGGGGATTTAGCTCAGTGGCAAAAAGCGCCTGCCTGGCAAGCGCAAGGTCGTGAGTTCGGTTCCCGGTACCAGAGAAAAACCAAAAAAAAAAAAGACCTACTCAGCTATAAAGAAAAATAAACTTGAGGCTTTTACAGGTAAATGGTCACAACTACAGACCATACTCACAAGTGGAATAAACCAGACCTCCATGTGTAACGTATTGTTTCACTAGTGTAAGAACCTGAAAGAGTGAATAAAAATTAGGAGGTAGGAAAGACAGTGCGAAAGGAAAGGGAAATGCTCAAATGTAAAGAACTGGGGTGACGGAACAGAGAAAAGGGGAAGTTACGTATGTGTGTATATACATCCACAGGAGAGCTAACACAGTTGTACTACTGACTTCTATCGCTTTACTGAAAGGAACAGTTAATGATTACTTCTTTGATCAATCTTGCATATCTCTATTTGTTTTCTTAAGAAACTACCTTGAAGATATCCACATGTAATACAACAACCACTGTTAATTTCCTACCACTTTGTCTGTAACTCAGTACTGCTTGCATTGTTCTTATGCTATTTTGTAAATGGATGTAAAAAAATAAATTAAAAAATAAAGGACCCACTGCCCTGGCTATGGGCCATTCCATCAGTCTTGGAAGAATTTCACAGCTCCCCAGGAGAGTCGCATGGGTAGGCAGGGCGGAAAAGCGGAAGAATGCCTCTGAGCTGGTGTGAGTGAGGCGAGGCCTAAGGCAGGGCTGGTGGGGGAGTCAGGTCCAGCTGTGGACTGTTTGCCTCCCGCTCCCCACCCGACTCGGAATGCCTGAAGCAGACCAGCCCAATTATCTGTTTTCCCGAGGCACTAGTCGCGCGCCACACACACACGCGCGAGCCTAAGAAATGTAAGCTGCAGAGCCTCGAAGACCGAACAGAAAAGGCTTTCTGCCAAGAAAGGTCCAGGAAAGGAGCCCACTGGGCCTGGGCCAGCTGACTCACCGGGTGACCTCCAGTCACTCCCGCTCTGGGCCCGTACACAGCACAGCTGGCCCACGTGGCCTTGAGTGGCCCTTCAAGTAGTAACACTGTGTTTGTACTTCACCTAAGGGCCACGGGAACTGCTGCACAGGGCAGGGAGGAACCAGGTTAGGAAGACACCGGCTCTCAGATTGCCTGGGACTCGGAGAGATCGTGGCCCACCCATCCCTGCTCACTCTCCACAAGGTCCCAAAGTATTCTAGCTCTCCTGGCCCTTTCAGATATAAAATCTCCACTTCTCAGGCTCTGTACCCCAGGGACTGCAAGGATAGTGAATCTGAGATCCTGAAAGTCAAACACCTGAAACAGCAGAACGAGAACATCCAGAGAACACTCAGGAGGCTGAGTCAGGAGGATCCTTGAGAGTTCGAGACCAGCCTGAGCTACATAGTGAGCTCAAGGAAAGCCTGAACTGCATAGCGAGACCCTGTCTCAAAAAAATAAAACAAAAAACAATAAACAAAAAACCACAGAGAAGACTGAAAGAGTGTGTGTGAATGGATTTTTACACAGCCACCAGCATCCAGGCAGAGAGCACAGGACACCGGAGAGGCCCTGGCTATGCCACTAGAGGGCAGAAAACCAGGGTGAAGCAGCCCAAGACACCCGAGAGAAACTCCCAAGAAAAAACTGGTCAAAGACTGAGGCAAGCCCAATGGGCTGTGGAGCAGGCCCGCTGCTTCTGGCCACCAGCAGAGCCAAAACCCTAATGTACACCCAGGCTTTTATTGGGAGAAGGGAAACTGTTTGAAAAGTGGCCTGAGGCAGCTGGCGCCTCCCCGCTCGGAAAGTCCTGGAAGGTCGGGGCTGCTAAATCTGGCACGCAGCAGGCTCAGGTGTAGAGGTCAAAGTCAATGCGTTTGGAGTTGTAGAACTGACCGCCAGGAGGGTCCAGCTTCCGGCAATACACGCCGTCCGAAAAGTAGCCTTCACTCACCCAGGTCTGCAGGAAGAGAGGGCAGAACTGGAGGAGGACGGCGGGAGCCAGGGAGGGACGAGGCAGAAGCGAGCAGAGCGGGGCTTACCTGCATCTGGGCGCTGGTGAAGGGCCCGTACAGCTCCGCATCCCCCGTGTTCTCCCACTTATACTCCCACATCACCTCCGCCAAACCATCGCCTGGCGACTCTGCTCCTAGGATAACAAAGCCATGTGGGCCTCCAGCACCCTGCCTCCTCCCCACAGCACCCCTCCGCTGGCCTCTGAGCTCACCTCCTCGCTGGGCAGGGGTCGGGGTCTCCAGCTCCCCCTCCGTTACTTCCTCAGCAAACATATCCAGGGAGGGTGGAGGTGTGGGGTCATGGGGTCCCTGGGTCCGGCAGCCCAAACCCTTCAGCCGCATGGCCAACCGTTCCCTTGTTTCCTGGTAGACACCAAGGTTGCCCCGAGCCACCATCTGGTCAGCCAGCCCAGACAGCCGATCTAGACGCTGCGGGGAACTGGGCCGCCGAGGCCCCTTGCTACCCTCTTTGCCGCCCCCTCGGGCCCCCAGACGCCTCAGCGCTCCAGCTACTGTCTCTCTCGGCAACAGTAGCTCCACCAGTCCCTCTAGGAGGGCCTGGGCGCTCATTGGTGTCTGGCCCAAGCTGTCCTCCTCCTCCTCCTCTGAAGCCTGCTGCTGATCAGGTGGCCGCTCCCTGATCTTCACCTGTAATAGGAAGACAGGAGAATTACTTCCTTCAAACTGGCATAGGGTTGGGCCAGGCGTGGTAGCTCACGCCTGTAATCCCAGCACTCGGGAGGCTGAGGCAGGAGGATCACTGCAAGTTCGAGGCCAGCCTAGGCTACAAAGTGAGCCTGAACTGCATAGTGAGACCCTGTCTCAAAAAGACAAAATCAAAACAAAACTGGCACAGGGACCCAGACCCAGCACGTGCCACCCCCAGGCCTCAGCCGGGCCAGCTCCAGGCCACACCCAGTCAATGTTGTCCAGCCAGCTGTCTCGAATCTGAGCGTCACGGTTCAGGAAGTAGTTGCCATCAGCATCAAAGTGGCCCTCCTCCATCTCCTCCTGAAGGTTGAAGGGTGTGATTCGCACACCCCCCTCACTGGGAAGCGTGGCCGCTTCCTGACCTGCAGAGACAGTTTTCCCATGCTAGGCGGCATGCAAAAGGGACAGCAGCCTCCCTGCACCACACCCCACGAGCACCTGCTCATCCCTTCCGCAGCGCAGTGCCTGAGGGCAGCTCACCTTCCACATCCTCGGAGGCCAGGATGTCGTATTTGCTGGATCCCTCCTCCTCATCATCATCCTCCTCATCACTGTCCAGAGAGTGTTTGCCTTTGAAGCGGCTCCCAGGGCCCCCAGCCACAGGGTCTACCAGCTAGGCACAAAAACCAGCAAATGAGAAATTCCCATCATAGCTACCGCCCCAAATTCTCCAGGATACAGACCCCAACTAAAAACCTTTCAAACCCATTCCACAGACAAAAGACTAACCCTTTCTCGGCCCCTCCCCTTCAAGCTTCTAGGTCCTTCCCCTCTCACTCGTCCACAAAATCAAGGCGTCTACACTCACCTTCTTCTTGGGAACACTGACTTCATCCTCATCATCCTCATCTCCCACGCCTTGGAAGGTCACTTTCCTCTTTGGCATGACTGGACGGAGGAGTCTTCCCCAGCTGAGCCCAGGAAAAGGGTGCAGAGGAAGGAAACGGTGCGGAGGGGACTCATGAGAAGGGGTCGCCGGCACAACGAAGGGAGGGCCGCTGGGCCCGAAAGGGGGCGAGTCTGGGACCGGACAGAGAACGGGATGGACGCCCTGTGCAGAGTCTGGCCTCAGAGGTAATGAAGTGGGGGCAGACGGGTGGATGCGCGGTTTCCCCCGCGGACACTCACCCTGGGCGGAACGCTTCCCCATGTGATCACCCCCAAACGCGCCTGGAGCGACAGGGCTCGGCGGACTCACGCCCGCTCCCCAACCCCCAGCGCCCTCAGAGCCCGCAGGGCCGGAGCGGTTCTCGGACCTGGCGCCGGAGCTGCGCCGCTCCTCCCGGCGCAAACTCATAATCCAATGTGGTGACACTCCCCCAACTGGCCAGGGCTTTGTGTACAAATTAGCGGGGCAACAGGGCCAAGGAGATCTGGGCACCCCCACCCGCGCGCGCTCACCTGGGGATCCAGGGAGAAGCGCGGGTAAAGAGAGGAAAGATGCTTTCGCCAGGGCTACATCCGGGGCATCTGACCGTACCTCCACCACCCGGAAGAGCACTATGAAGGCGCCAAGGAGGCCGGAAGAAGGCTGCAGAAGACGCCAGGAAAGCCGGAAGTGGCTTCGCTCCTGCCAGAAGACTAACTGCGGGAACGGGCGGAAGTACACGAGAACGAGTGAAGACCTTCTTCCGGACCAGAAGTGACGTAAGACGCGTGGAGCTACAAAGAGCGGAAGAGTGGCTTATGAAGGCGTAGATCCTGAGCGGAAGTAGTTATGTTCCCTCGTAGTACGGTAAAGGGTGTGGAGGAATTTGGAGCACACAGTAGTTAAAAGGGGCACCCAAACCGGGCGTGGTGGGGCACACCTGTAATCCCAGTTGAGGGACAGCCTGCCGGGGAGCACCCTGGGCCAGGCCTGCTCCCGGCTGAAGGAGCCTGAGGCAGGAGTATCGCTGGGAGTTCGAGGCCAGCCGGGGCTACATAGTGAGTTCAATGCCAGCCTACCCTGCAAAGTGAGACCTTGTCTCAAAAAACCAAAAGGGGCGCGCCCAGACAGGCGTGGTGGCGCACGCCTGTAATCTCAGCACTCGGGAGGATCGCCGAGTTCGAGGCCAGCCTGTACTACATAGATTTCAGGGCGAGTCTGAGCTACAAAGGGAGACCCTGTATCCAACAAACAAAAAAATATAGGGGCTGGGGATTTAACTCAGCGGCAAAGCGCCTGCCTGGCAAGTGCAAGGTCGTGAGTTCGGTTCCTGGTACCAGAGAAAAACCAATCAATATATATATAAAGCGGGGGACGGCTAAGGTCGGGATAGAAGGGCACAGTCCGTGCAGGGCCAGTGGTTTTCCTGCCCGATTTGCAGGCCGAGTTCGAGTCGCCCTACCCCCAGGATTGGCCAAGGGCTTGGAGCCCCTCACCATTTCGCTAGAAATCCTGCCTTCCTGCCCCGGTGAAGTTGCCAGCCCTGCTTTCCTGAGGGCCCACCGGGCAGGGAGACTGACGGTATCTAGGGCACTTTCACAAACTAGCTCCCTTCAGGACCCAGGGGAAGTCGTTTGCTCCTTGCCTACTCCTTGGCGAGTTCGTTTTGAGGCTGCAGAGCCGGCACTGGAGAGGGGGCATTGGCACCGGTGCCCAGTACCCAGCCCCCAGCCCAGAAGCACTTGCACCCGGCCTGTAAGAGGGCAACGGTGCCTCGAACTACAGGATGATGCAGGATGATACCCGCTCCTTAGAGAACAGGACCCAGTGCCCCTAGCCCGACAGGCAGCTGGGAGGGACCATCTGGTCTGGAACTCTGCCTGACGCTCTTGAGGACATTTGGAGCCTGACTGCCCCTAGGCTGAGACTGCAGAAGCCATCGGAGGGCCGCAGGGTGTCCCCCACCCCAACCAGACAGACCACTTCTCTCCCGCAGGCTTTCACTGCACCAAAACTCCAGCGCAGCTTCTCCCATGGGTATGGAGCACAGGCACTGGACCAGGGGGGCATCTTGCTGAAGGAGCCGGAAACACCAGCCACCAGCGTGCCGCTGGTTCATCTTTCGAGGAAACCTCCCCTTTTATCAGGAACACCAGGCTGACCACATCCCCCAAGGCTCGTTCTGTTGGACAACTGCCAAGCGAGCCCGGCTGTGAGGCCACAGAACCCTAAGCCTTCGCTATCCTGACCCCTAGGTTGGGGGCACAGGTGGACTGGCCGACAAGCTGGCTGCAGAAGCCCAAGAGCTGCGGGCACTGGCTGGGGTGACCTGGAGGCTGCTGGCTGTGCTGCTGCACCTGCCCCCTGAAGGCCAGTGCGGGAGCTGTGCCAAGTGGCTGGTGGCTGGTGGCCAAGGGCCCAGCTCAGCCCCAGCAGGTGGGGGCTTTCTAGCCACTGTTAGTCTCACAAACTTCCCAGAGTTGCACAAGCATTTTGGGAAGGAGATCCGGGTGCTGCTGGCGGTGAACAGTGAGCTCCAAGGGGCCAGTGACAATGGGGGCAGCAGATCCCAGGCAAAGATGGAACAGGAGTTCAGCCAGTGATTGTTGAGTGACAGATGGCCCTGCCAGGCAGAGGGCACACACCTATTTTCCCAGCAGGGGCATCAAGAGTTTGAGGCCAGCCTGAGCTACACAGCAAGACCCTGTCTCAGACCATCACCCAAAGAGGTGGAGATGGACCCAGGACTGAGGTCATCTACATGCCAGTTCTCGGACTGCTTCTAAGGGAGACCCAGGCCTGGCTCGCCCCCTCCCTAGTTCTCACCCCCAGAGCCCCTCATCAAGTAACAAAGCGGAGACAGGCCCAGGTACACAGCAGGTTCTCTTTCCGGTTCCTCTGAGCGCGCAGGACAGGGCAGAGACAGAAGAGAATGTAAACATCAGGTTCCACCCTGAGCGGAGCGCAGAAGGCTCCTTACTCAGAGGGGGCTTAAGGGTTAGAAGGGAACAAGATGAAAGGAGGGGACCCTGGTGAGACAAAGCAGAGGAGGCCTGAGAATACAGAGCAAGACGGATGAGCAAGGAGACCAGGCAGAGGATGGGACAGGAAGTGGGGCACATTTCCTATTTCAGTGCATGTCCCCTTAAATAAATCGGAGTGCCGGACAGTGGGAGAACCAAGACAGACGACAGGGCAGGCACCCCACGTGGGCCAGCCTAGTCCTCCGTACATAATTACAACAGAGATGTCCAGGAGAAGGTTGAGGAAAGCCTTAGCCCGGAAGCTGGAGGCTGAAGATGGGAAAAGGAACCCAGCTCCACCTGTGCACAAGGGGAGCCACTGGAGTGTAAGAATCTGCGAACTGCCCATTGCCAAGTCACCTGGTGACAAGAGGCCAATCAGGACAGCACCTGGGAGGGGACCCCAGTGGGAACTGGCAGGATTAACAGAGATCCCAGCTGGGCCTGACTGGAGGCAAGAGCTCCAGCGTCGGTCACAGCTGCCCCGCGCACTGTGGCTGTCCTGGCTGTGTGGGGAGCAGCAGCTGGCAAGGAGATGGGGAATCGAGCTGCTTTCCTCAGAAAGGGACAGCCTGCCGGGGAGCACCCTGGGCCAGGCCTGCTCCCAGCTGAGGGAAAAAGAGGCCGTGTAGTCCAGCCCCAGGCAGAGTCAGAAGTAAGCGTCCTGCCGGGCCTCGGCTGCCGAGGACCTGTCCCCACCATCATGGGGTGCGGGGGGCCCATCTGCCTTTCGACGCAAGGAAAGCTTCCGGCCTTGGCCCTTCTTCTCCTGCTTCTGCCGCTCCTTCTCCTGCTTCTGCTGTTCCTTCTCCTGCTCTCTTTCCCACTTCTGCCGTTCCTTCTCTTGCCTCTCCCACTCCTTCTCCTGTTTCTGCCTCTGCTTCGCCTGTTCTTTCTCTTGTTTCTGCCGCTCCTTCTCCTGCCGCCGGGTCTCCTTGCTGGAACCCAGAGGGGTGCTATTGCCAGTTGGTGAGGGCAGGGATGGGTGCAGTCCCTCAGCAGTGACCACGGGCCCTGGAGCAGGACCAGCACTGGCTCTGCGGGCAGGAGCGGGTGGGGAGAAGGCCCCTCCAGCTGCGCGGGAGCCTCGGCTTTTCAGGCCAGGGAGGCTGAGGAGGCTGGAGGAGGGGCCGAGGGGTGGCTGCTGCCGCCGTCGCTCCTCATGGATCGCCCGGGAGCCGTGCAGTCGCCGTGAGGGCCGATACTGCAGTTCCCCCCGGGTTTCCCGCCACTTCTTCAGCTGGGCTGCATTCTCCCGCTCAATCAGGGCCTCTGTCACTGGAAGGTTGGTTACCTGGATGGAGAGGAAACAGGAACCGGAATGGAGAAGAGCACAGGAGTGGGCCGAAGCAGGTGCGGGTGGCTCATGGCCTACCTCGTGTACCAGGAAGTCCTCCTGCATGCACTGCTGGGGCAGGTTTCGCAGCTGCTCCATGGTTTCATACATGCCTTGGCAGGAACGCAGCTTCTCCACCGACCCCAGTGTGTGTCTGAGCAAGACCAGGGCCACCCGGAAGATGATCTTAACACCTGCAGGGTTGGGCAGGGGAACATAAGGTAATCAATCCCGAGATTCTAAGCCCCTCCCAGTTAGCTCCCGTGCAGCTGGAGGGGCCTTCTCCCCACGCGCTCCTTCCCGCAGAGCCAGTGCTGGTCCTGCTCCACAACCCCTCTCCTTATGACTGCCAACCTTACAGATGAGAAAACTGCGGCTTCAGGACTAGAAATGAGCTGCTATGGGTTGCAGGTCCCTGGGAGGGAGAGCAGTCTCTACCTTGGGAGCTGAACTACAATCAGACCTGTTCTTTTAAGCTGTAGGCTGCTTACAGTGAAGCTCGGACCCAAGAAACACTTTTTGTCTATGGACAACCTGGCCCTCGTGGCCCGGGATGCAGAAATACCTTCACAAAAGAACATGTCCCAGACGCGCAGCACCGAGGCCCAGGGCAGGGTGCGGGCAAAGATGCACATGAACCATTCCGTCATGTAGAGCACGGGGTCGATGCGCTGCCGCCGCAGGTGCCGATGTGCCAGCGGGGAAGCCCGGCGCAAGAGTGCAAAAAAGATTTCTCCATCCAGCTGAATGGCCTCCTGGAGGTGGGAAGAGCCATGAGAAGAGGACAAGGCCTGCTGTGGACCCCTTGGAGTAGAATCCCCATCACAGGGGACCCTCACCTCTGTGGGGAGAGCCCCAGAGCACAGGGGCAGAAGGGCCAGGGTCGGGTGGGGCAAGTACTCATTCTCTTGCAGCTTGGAAGAGTCACAGCCCCAGTGCACCCGAACCTCCAGACACTCACCAGCCCTGCGCTGTAGTAACCCGGGAGGTACTTGTCACAGATCTGCACCAGGCACCAAAAGGCTTGCTGAGTAAGGGCAAGAACAAGGAGGAGTGGGGCCTGAGAAGCAGGGAGTAGGTAGCTCCCCTATCACCGCTGTAGGCCAAGATCCTCCCACCTCCTCACCCACCCAGGACCACGTGTGCTGACCTCAGCAGGCATGTGCATGAGCAGCACCGCAGCCACTGGGGCCTGGGCCTGGCAGTAGCCCTCATCCGGCCGGTAGATGGTGTAGGCCTTCAGGATGCGGTACAGGTCCTGCTGCCTGCGGGGATTACGGAAGACGCAAACCGCAGGAATTGGGAGCGCTCTGTCTCAAACCAAATGTGCCCCTGTAGCCCACCCAGACTACACCTGCATCCAAATCCCAATTGCGCGTGTTTTCCTGCCACACACCTCTATCCATCTCCACAGTCCTGCCTCTAAGCTGAAACCAAAGGCGCACTGCAGTCAAGGCATCGCAGGCCCCAGCCTCACACCCGTTCCCAGCAGAGGCCACACCCTTTCCAGCCTCCATCTGCCACAAGTCCACAAACATCACGGTCATCTTCTCCAGGGAGCTTTCACCATCCTCAGAAGCAGCCCTCCTCTAGCACTGTCTGAATGTTTTTAACACTCCCGAGCAGCAACTCTCCAGGGCAGGGCCTGCCTCATCTGTCTCATTAGATTTCATCAACCATGACCGCCGTGTCCAGTGGGTCCAGGATCATGGTGCAGGCTTGGAAGCCACCTACACTTCAGATCTTTCTCTTGTCCCTGCATCCAATCTCTGCCCTAGACATGCTCTTCTTCCCGGTCACTGCGGGACTTCCATCCCCTCAGTCCCACATCAGAAATAAAGTCTTCCTCATTCCCCAGAGCTAATTGCGTTATATCCTGAATTCCATTCGTGTCTGTTCTCTCTCTCCACCTCCACAGCTACTTCCAGCTCTGACCTCCATCTCTCGCCCAGAAAAACAACCACCCAGGTCCTCTGCCTGCCTCCGGTCTCACACATACTCTCAACCGTGCCTGTAACAGTTCTGCCCCAAGTGCAGTCAAATAGGATCATTTGTGCCTTGTCTGGATAACACCCCTACTATCATGTTTGTAATATTTTTCCTCCACTTTACAAAAGCATCCTTGAAATGACAAGTTTGACACGCTGGTTATTCTACTGAGTGCGTATTAAAATAAACACGTCACTTCCACACGCTCCCACGCCACAGCCACCCACCTGCCTGCGTCTGCATCCCTGCCTTCTCTCCTGCTGCTACAGGCGAACTGCCTGTGATGCTGGCAAAGTTGAGTGCCATGCCCACTCGCCAATGCAGGCCAGCAACCCAGCAATCCTGCCGTCCGTTTCTCTACCAGATCATTCCCATCCACACACCAGCAACATGCTGTTCCTTCTTATTTAAAAAAATGTCCCTTGACCCCACTTCCCCCTCCAAACAGCACACTTTTTCCTTACCTAGTCGGTGAGACAACTCCAGACCATGCGCTCGCTGACTAGGTACCCTCACCCCATTCTCTGACAGGCTTTCACCCAGCACACCGGGCAAAACTGCTTTTTTCAAGTCACAGATGCCCTCCACAGGGAATCCAGACATCAGTTTCCAGGCTTGCCTTATCTGACCCCCTCAGCCGCATTTCCCACCTCCTGCCTTTGAAACCTTTCCTTCCCTTGTGGGACCACTCTCTCCTGGTCTTTCCGCCGCCTCTCGTCTCATTCCAATCTCCTCCGTCAGTTCTTTCTCAGCTTCCCACTCTCAAAGCACTGGAGGCCCAGACTCAATCCTTGGACATCTTCCTTTAGGATCTATACTTGCTGTCTTGGGATCTCATGCATACCGTGGATCAAGTCCCTCCATAAAGTTGACACACTTTCCATTTCCAATTCATCTCCAAATTAAACTTCTGCCTTGAAACTCACACTTCTATACCTGGTACACCTTGCACCTTCATCTGCATGTCCAAAAAGCAATTTAAACTTGCTGTTGTTATTGTTTGAGACAGGGTCTCACTATGTAGTTCAAGCTGGCCTAGAACTCACTGTGTAACCCAGGCTGGCCTCAAACTTGCAGTGCTCCTCCTGCCTCAGCCTCCCGAGTGCTGGGACTGCAGGCATGCGCCACAATACCTGGCCTTAAACTTAAGACTGAGCCCATGATATGCGCCACAGGCCTACCTTTCCCCCAGCCTTCCCCATCCATCTCAGTGAGCAGCAGCTCCACTCTTCTAGGTTCTCGGGTTGAAAACCTTCATTTAGCTTTAATTATTCTTTCACACTTTCTAATCCATAAGCAAATTCTTTTGACTTTACCTTTAAAAGAGATCAAACTACTTCTCATACTTCCACTACCACACCATCTTATCTATCATCCTCTCTCCTGGATTTTAGTCTCTTAACTGCTCTGCTTCTGCCCTTATCTGCCTGTGGTCTGCTTTAACACACCAGCTAAAATAACCCTTTGAGATATAAAGTCAAACCAGGTGTGCTGAGGCGTGGCTAGAAGCCCAGCACACTGAGAAGCTCAACAGGAAAATCACAAAGGTGAACCAAGCTCACCGTCAAGGCCCTGGGTTCAATCCCCTGTACAACGGGGAGATTGTGCACGTCAGATCTCATCACTTATAACCCACCCTATCCCCACTCACATTCTCCAGTCTCCTTTCTTACTTTAAACTTCTCTCTAGTACTTACTCTATTTCACGTATCACATACTTTCCTTCCTTATCTGATGTATTACCTGTCCTCACTGAACTTGGTGACCGCCATGAGGACAGGAGTTCCACCACTGACATCTAAGACTAGAACAATGCCTGACGGACAGCAGGTACTCAATACTTGTTAAAAAATGAACTTAACACTGGGAAGGAGGATCACAAGTTTGAGGCCCACCTGGGCAACTTAGCAAGACCTTATCTCAAAATAAATACAAAGGGCTGGGCATGTACCTCAGTGGTGTAGAGCACTGGCCTAGCACATGAGGCCTGGATTCAATCCCCAGCACTGAAGAGAAAAAAAGTCCACCTGAAAACTACCTAAGAACGTCTTGCATGCTACTGGGGAGTGGTTCACAGTGCACACGAGGACATTTACCCACAGAACAAATATCCAAGTGCCCTGTCACAGCATTTAAGGACTCAGCTCTTGGTATTCTTGCTCTAAAACTTCCTTTCTGGCTTCTGCTTTACCCAATCTCACTGCCCAGACACCACTTATATAACCTCCCAGGCAGGAAAACCCTGCCCAGCTCCTATCTATTCTTCCAAAACCAGCTGAAATGCAGTATCTTCTATCAACCTTTCATGTGCCCATGCACCCCCCAAAAATGCACAAAACCAGACCTGAGTCTCCTTCCCAGGACACTCAATCCATTAAAGATCACTCTTCTGCCAGGGATGGTAGCACATGCCTGTAATGTCAGCACTTGGGAGGCTGAGGCAGGAGGATCACTCTGAGTTCAAGGCCAGCATGAACTACACAGCAAGACCTTTTTTTTTTTTTTTTAAGACCTTTTCTTTAAAAAACCAAAAGAAAAAAAATCACTGTTCTACAGGTCCTGGAGAGCAAGAACTGCTTTCAAACCAGCCTTGTATCTACCTGGAACCTTCATGTACTGTTTGCTGACTGACCCACATGGTCAGGCCACCTTACCCATGCCCTCCTCGAGCAGCAAACATCTCATGGAAAGGGAACTGGCGGTGCAGATCCTTCTCAATCACATCCAGCCACTTGGGGTCCCCAGGAGCCCTTTCCAGCTCCTGCAGTGGGACAGCAGGAATTATCTCAGGATCTGAGAGAACTGATACCCCTTACATAGACAAGGCCACATGTCCCCACACCCTGGAGTGCCACACACCTCAAACTTGCCAGGATTTTGCTCCAGAAGTTCCTTACTATTAGACAGGTACTGCCAGGCCTTGGCTCTGAGGGACGAAGGGATCCCCTTCCGGCAGCGTAGCTTCACCTAAGGCACAGTTGCAGCCCGGCAGGCAACGTCAGGGGCTGGCACAGCCTCCAGGCTTTCTCCAGCAGCCCCTGGGTTTCCCATGCCACACTGGACTCGGCTAGATGGGGACCCAAGGACCACTTATCCCCAGTGTGGTCCAGACGGAGGATCACATCCGTCTCCAGGACTCCCTGGAGCACACGCACCTCCCTTCACCCTCGTACCTTTCCCAACCCACTGCACAACCCTCTCAAACCTTCTGGAAACGTCGTGACAGCCACTTCTCCCAGTTATTGAACATCTCCAGCCACTTGAGCTCTCGCTGCCGAGCCACATCCACCGGAATGGAGCTCTCTCTGCAGGATGGGGGAGCGTGGAAAGGGTCAGTAGCAGCAGCATAAAACTTGGGTTGCCAGGGGAGATCAGTGAGCCATCGTCCCAGGCTCAAATGACAAAGTGGACATTTTGTGAGTGTCCCAGCTATCAGAATGTCTGGCCACTTGGCCAAGGCTCTTTTCAGCTCTATTCACTACCCTGAAAAGGCTTCCTTCCCTGTTAGATCTCCAGAGGTCATGTTCAAAACCTACTTCTGACACATCCAAATTTGGGTTTGGGGTTGTTTTTTGTTTTGTTTTGCTTTGTTTTTGGTTTTGAGACAGTCTTGCTATGCAGTTCAGGCTGGCCTTCCACTCACTATATAATCCAGGGTGGTCTCCAATTCACAACGATCTTTCTGCCTCAGCCTCCCAAGTGCTGGGATTACAAGTGTGCACCACTACACCCAGCTGACATTTCCAAATTTGGGAAGCAAGTATAGAATATTTAAAAGTCACATTTTTGGCTAGGCGTGGTGGCACACACCTGGATCACAGCAAGTTCAAAGACCAGTCTGGGCTCCACAGTGAGTTCAAAGTCAGCCTAGATTACATAGCAAGACTCTTGTCTCAAAAAAGAGGCCATATTTTGCACTAGACCCGGACCCAAGTTATTCACTGTGTGACCTTGGCCAAGTCACTTAAATTTTTCTAAGCCTCAATTTTCTCATTTGTAAGGTGGAAAAAATGAAAACGTCTCCTTGAACGTTATATGTCAAGGAGTCATACAAAATAACACAGCAGAGGTTCAATAAATAATAGCAAGTATTATCCATCAGATACAGAACCAATGTACCTCTCTGTCTCCTCAGGAGCAAGTAAGATCCCATGGGCCATCTGGGATTTCTTCTACCACCTCCGCCCTTGAAATCTCCCCAGATTCCCAGGCAAAAGAAGTTCTCCTTGCCCTGTTTTGCCCACTGTTCTGTCAGAGCTTCACACTCAAGGGTGCCCCATCTGTCTTGAAACAGTTACTTGAAGGAACCAACACCAGGCGGCAAGTAAAATAGAAGAGCTTAGGTTTTTTTGTTTTTCTTTTCTTTTTGAGACAGGGTCTTGCTATGCAGTTCAGGCTGACCTTGAGCTCACTTTGTAGCCCAGGCTGGCCTGGAACTCGCAACGATCCTCCTGTCTCAGCCTCCCAAGTGCTGGGATTACAGGCGTATGCCACCATGCCTGGCATAGCTTAAGTTTTAAAAAGGCAAAAGATTTATATGATCTGAAGAGAAACCAGAGTGAGCTTAGGTTTTAGAAATCAGAAAGATCTAAGTTCAAATCACTGTTACGTCTCTTAATACTTCTAAGATGGAATAACGCCACCTACAAAATTATGAGGACTTTTGAGAAAATATGTATAAAGGACTGTGAAATAGAATAGGTTCATTAAACGTCTGGCTTCTTTTTCTTTTTTTGTCTTTTTTTTTTTTTTTTTTTTTTTTTT